AGATTTCAAGCAGAGAAGAAATAAATTTATAGAAAAATGCTATACAGTTATTTACGTAGTCATTAACTATGGTATAAGTTAGTGATCCATCATCTAATATACTTTTTATGTCTGACACCTGACACCATTATAATAAAAAAATTAATAAAAAAATTTAGAACAAAACAATATAATTCTTATTATAATTTTGGATGAGTTGAAGACTGAGAGTTGTATGAAATGAACGTTGATCATTTGCCTAGGAGGTCACGTAAGGTTCCTGCTTCGCGTGCCATAGATCCCGAGTGGATTACGCCTGTTTTTAATCAGAGTCTGGCCACTCGGCTAATTGAATAACCCTCATATGAGGGTTAGACGGGTTAAGAACCACAATTGTGTCCGTATTTAATCCACTGCATGCTTACAATTTCCAACTTGAATTAGGACAAATAAAAAATGATATACCAAAATTATATTAAGCATACAAGTATAAATTTTCAAAGGTATTATAGAGGAAAGTATTTCTTATGAATTAAACCAGGAGTTGTTTTAACCAGAGTAGATGTGTTGAAGTGATACTAAGCTATAGAGGGGGCTATTCATTTTTTTAAACTTGAAAGAGTAATCCTAAATCAAGTACCAATAATGAAACATTACCTATAGCCAGACAATGGGACTGCAATTTGAAACCTGTAACATATATTTTGATTGTTTACTTTAGTACTTTATGATGTGATGTCATCATGACCATATTTAGGCATGTCACATGTTTTTTTCAAATAAAATTTGATAGTTTGGATAGATATTAACACGTACGCTGTCAGCGACGAGTATATTCGTCACGCAGGGTGTTGCTCAGAGCGCTAGGGAAGACTATAATCGTCAAAACTGGGGTAACATTCTAGCATTTATTACTTCATTGTCATACATTGTAGAACCACAGACTTAACGGCTGATAGTTCGGGGAAATATACACCTCGACATTAAACATACAAATAATGTATGTATGTTTGTTGTGTTACATTGCCGGCAGTACAAAAGATTGCACAAGTGGGGTTACTTTCTGAACATATACCAACCCAGGCAAAAAGCGGACGAGGAAACTCAACACTTGGCAGAGGCAATAGAAATGACTGTCTCATTGCCGTCCCCTAATAATTTATTATACACACCATTTTGATGATATGTGACTTGATAACATTTCAAGGAAGTATGTTTGCAGCTGTATTCTTGTTTTGGCAAACGCGACAAAACCTAAAAAAAAAAGGTCTGGCAGTCAACGTGTTAACTGCTAATGACCCACTTGTACTCATTTTCGACAAAAAACCGCTCAGCCACTAATTTTCAGTAGACTGACATTGGATCAGAGTGTGAACAAATTCATCAGCTGATGGTGGGTCAGACGACATGGCTTAGGGAATGGAGTGGTTAAAGGATTTGAACCAAGAATCCTGAGGTTAGAAGGCAAGCTACTTAACCAACAGAATACTGTTCAACTACAATTTTAATTTAAGTCACAAAGGCATTACTTCAACTTTATTCATGGTTTACAACAGAGTTGTAAATTAACAAGAGACAACTATCTTTGATGGTGGCCTAATTAATGCAACAACACATTTTGGGCGCTGGGCAAACTGTAAACAAAGTTGAAACTCTCTGGTTACAGGGTGTAGGATTACCCTCATCAGCAAATAATGAAGGGAGCGGGTATTATATCTGCAGTGTTAATGATGTTGCTGTAACATGAAGCGTACTAATAGAATGAAATAACCTTATCATGTTAACTTTAGATTTGACTGTTAGATGATTGACTGATTGATTGATAATGATGCAACCTTTTGTTTTGTTTTTTTGCTTTGTACTTTACTACTGTAAATAAACACACAAAAAAAACATTATTCCAGATTTAATCAACAGAATCAAATTTAAGAGATAAATGATATGATGAATATAGTAGCATAACTACATATTCAAGTAACAAGACTGCAACAGCCAGAAATTGCAGAATTTTGTATAGTGTAATTTTTGAAATAAAGTTTGAATATATAAACCCTAAATTTTAAGACATGTTAATAATACTGTACTTAAATTAAAATTTGGTTCTGATCGCATTTCCCCTTTTTGGTTTATCAGTTAATTCCTTATTTAATATTCAATTTTCTTGAGTTAATGCTACAAAACTTAGTTTTATACCTAAATTATATGATTTGTTTGTCGGTGAAGATAATTCTATTGACATTTCTTATAATTATTTTCGAACAGTTAAACGTAAATTTGTTTTTGTGTGTGTATCGTAATTCAGTTCCTTTTTGTTCACTATGTTTTATGTTATTCCATTCAGTAAGTGGTAGGCCCCGCTGTTGGATGTGAACTGAAATATAAAAGAGAATAAAAAAAAGAAGAGGAAAATATACAGCACTTAATTAAACAAACTACATACTGTTAGGTATGAAGGGTTATATGAATTTCTTTTTTTTTCTTTCTTGGTTTTTGTCACAGGCAAATCATTTTAATTAATTACATTGACATTACTATTGTTAATTGTTTTATGTTCATTTTACGTGGTTGGAAAATGCGAGTGGAGAGTTGATTTTTCAACTCGCATCTTCAAGTGCATAGAGATCTGGTTTATTTGCCCTATATAAATCCATCTATTATTATTATTATTATTATTATTAACTCACAACTTTCACAAAAGAACTCACCGATACTTCCCATCCCCCTCTAAAATAAGTGGAATGGAAACTTATAACATAAACCTCCCCTTCCCAGAGTATGAGTCAAAGCGATCCACTGTCATCCCACAATAGTAAATCTTAACATGCTTAACTTGAACTATGAGTAAGTGGGCTATGGTGATTTATCTGATTCACACTTTGTTAACACTTGTGCTAACCTTAGAATCAGGGGCTAGATCCATCATATGATTTGTTGCAAAGCGATAGGTTTTTCTAGAGCGTACTGGAAACTATGTTATAATGTGCTATTTATTACAACCTGCAAAATGTGGCGAGGGCGACAGAACAATTTCTGGATGAGTATAAGCAACTCAAGTTGATTTTGGTAGAGAGACCCTCAAATTATATAAAAAAATAAAAAATATTGATGAATAATCACTACAAAAACAAGTACTACTTAAAACTTATTGCTAAAAAATAACAACTTAGCAGACAAGTAGGCCTACAATGTAATTATTCCTATAATAGGCTAATATTTTGGTATTTCACACAGATTAATTCATGAAAGAGCATACAATAACGATGTGTCTTTCACATGCTAGGACTAGTAAACTGTATTTTTCAGCTCTGCTATTACTAAAGATCTGAAATACTGTACATACTGTAATCTATATAAATGGGTGGTTTTATATTTATATAATATTTATTTTAATATATTTTATTCACTTTAATTTCTATCCCCTTTCTCTATCTGTTTAAGCGCGACCTTTTATTCTAAATGTCCTGGCATAATGTTAAGTAAATGATTTTTCCCATCAACATCCCTTCCCTTCTTCAGTTACTGCAATCTAACCCCGCATCCCTCAACAGGTGAAATATTAATCTTTAATAGTAAATAAAAATAATGTTAAATCATTGATCATATTGTAACCAATAACCGAATGACCTAAGAGCTTATACAGAAAAATGTCTGCCAACCATCAACAACAATGACATTAAACCAAAGATAACATTTCGCAGTGTATCAGTTTGTCTCAGAAAGGCAATTTTAAACAAGAGAACTCTTAAAATTCTATATAATGATTGTTTATATCGTATACCATTAAAATTATGTCATAAGCTTACGCATCAAAAACGTCCGCTAACCATCAATGACGATGACATTAAAAGCGAAGACAACATTTCGCAGCATATCCTGTTTGTCTCTAAAGGCAATGTAATACAAGGGAACTATTAACGTTCTGTATAATTTATCTTGATTATTAAGTGCCTTAGACGTACAACCACAAACTATTAATCATGTATTGCCCTCAACACTCTAAATTGCACCTTTTGAGGAAGTTGAAGGATTTTCTTTGAGAAATTCTGTAAGATTTCTTTGTAGTTGAAGCATTATTCTCTGTTATTTTAAGGAGTGGAATACCAAAATCCACAAAGGAGCAGTAATAATCAGACTAAATAGTTGCAAATTGTGGCATAATGGTACAGCTTACGGCTTACAGTTCGAATCACTTTAGTGTTCACAATTTATGTAGCGTACTTCACCTTCATCGGTGAATATGCAAATTCTATTTGGTAGTTATTGATCGATATTCTTGACTGATTTTTATAACTATTTTTGATTTTTTTTGCTTTAAATTTTTCTTCTGCATGTTCCTTGGTCACTTTAATTATTGTATTATGAAAGAATTGTCAAATAAATGTTAATGAATTAAGTTAGTAAGGAACAAAATTAACATACCACCACAAACAAACATACATTAATTTATTGTTTGGGCAAGAAAGGGCAAGTTGTAGCAATTGATAAGTAATAATAATAATAATAATAATATGTCAGTCTTATATAGTACTTAATGCCTAAAACAAAGGTCTTCACATTATTATCCCAGTCACTGGATCAAGCACGTGTATGGGGAGAATTCCATAATACTGCAGCTAGTAATCAGCGCAGTTGTGTCTGAACCTACCAGACACCCCCTTGTAGTCCTGGGTGCAGAGAGGTAAACGTACTTAAATATCTTGCCTAAGGATACAAGCAATGCGACAAGCGTCTGTCTCGAACTCCCGATCCCGCGATCAGAAGTCCAACGTCTTACACACGCTCTAAGACTTGTGCATAGGGCTAGTATATATAAGTGCAAGTTATGTGAATGTTAGTCATAGACTTCTAGTACAAAATGGAAACACTGTTACCAATCCTGTGTATTGTAATAATCCTCGATATAGAAAATACAATTTATGCAACTTCATTACTTCTAGCGGAAATGTTTGTGCGGAAAAAGAGCAAGGATTCTTCCATTTGATATGGTCAATATAAATAACCCTGGGGAAAGAGATAAAGAATCAAATTGTTCCACTTACCGGAAGAAGCAGCAATGATTCCAGAGAATGCCTAGTAGCACCACGTTGAGATTTACAAAACGAGACAAACTCGCGACTCATGGCCGTCTTTTGATGCAGAAGACTGTGAACGAAAAAATGATAGTATCACCGATTTTTTTTTTTTTGCTGAAGATTACTAATTGGAAACCTTACTCAGACCTCAAATTTCACACATTATATATCAGTTTGTTTATTTTCATACAAATACAATTCAAAGTGATCAGTTTACAATGACCTACTCTTTCAATCAGGGTGAGAATATTTGTGGTTTAACTAATTGATGGATATGGGAAAAATAGCCAAGTTAATCTCAAGATTTGCTCTAACAAATCATTTAAGGCCAACACATTGTAAACTATCAGGAACCAACCTCACCCCAACATTTGCTTTAATGAAAATCCAGATGGAAAAAAAACCTTTGAGGTGAACCACACAAACCATTATCCTTGGAATTGACAGGAAGAATGTTATTTTGTTGTCAAAACATTTCCATTTTTCTTTGAAATCTTAGCTGGTAGAATAATAAACAATGATGAAACAAAGCTGTCTTTAGAAATGATGTTAATAATTTTGGTTTATTTTTCTTTGAATTTAGAACTGGAAACTTATGTGGGATAAATAATCATGGAATAGCAATAAAACTCCCCTTCCTCCATCACCTCTCCTTGGATTACTAGGGCATAAACACTGCAGACTTTTTTTAAAACTTTGCGTAATTTTTCATCTTATGATTAACTTCAATTTAATCACTAAGAATGCATTTGTTTATTTTATGTCTCATTAGAAGTTTTTTTTTTGTATTGTTATTAATTTAATAGAGAAATTCAAAGTTTTGAATGAGATTTTGTGGAGTTTTCTGATTTTAGCAAAGATTAAACTTAAAATGTAAATACTGTATCATAATACTGAATCAGTAAGTGTAGCAGGGATCCAAAAGTTGAAGAATCCACATCTGGGAGATCTGTTCAAATGATCTTTCTTAACACATCTAATTATATAATTATTGCTGTGGACATGGTGATACCCACTGGCACTGACCTCAGGGAGATATTTGATAATAGAGTAGTAAAAACTTGTAAAAACATGCAAATATCTAGGAGATTCTTGCTTGCTTGCACGAGTCCTTCCTGATTTCTTGGAGAGCCCTGCGACTTGCGGAAGATTGGGGACCCCTGGTACCACTGTTGTATTAAAATTAAACTATGTTCAGAGCAGAAACATTTCCATCCGAAATCTCAGAGTAATGATCTTCCAAGGATAATTTACCTCTCTGTCACTAACCTATACTAACTGTTGTTGCACTTTGAGTTCAATAGAGTTCTATGTTTGATTTATTTACTAAAAATAGCTACTTCTATAAATTATACTTAACCTCAAGATCCTTAATTTGAGGCGAAATCTCAGTAATTTAGGACTTTTTTCAGCAAATGATAGGATTAACCCAACAACAGATGCAAGCTGACAGGAGTGGGTGAACTGGAGCACTTAAGTATTTGCACTTTTGACAAAACTAAAAAGTGTACCTCTTAAGTTTCTTGTAATTTGCATAATAATCCAAGTATACATTCCAAAAGTCATCACCAAAAAGACAACCTGTAAGATCAAATATTATCAAAAGTTATCAATTATGAAAATAACAATAAGGCCATACAAAAAAAATTCTTGTGTTTGGCCACGTTTTGGGAAAATCCAAAAAATGGATAGGTTGGTAGGAAAAAGTTTTTTTTTCCCTTTTAACCGATAATGTGTTTATGCCTAAAAAGTAAAAACTACATAAAAATACAACAAAGATAATTTTTAAATCTATATTGAAGATCAAAGCGCTCGCATAACACTATCGCATTGCCTGCCGTCGCTAGATAAGCCTATTCCAAAATTTTTAGCTCATTAAGAAAATATTTTTCGTTGTAGTCAAAAAAAAAAAACTAAAATGCTGACCCTTAATTTTGAACACTTTGGTTCGGTCAGGTGTGGCCAACACAATATTTTTTTTTAAATTGTAGTCGCCCAAGGTAGCTGGTGCAGTAAACTTTGTTATGGACATTTGATCTAAGTTTAACATCCCATAATAGCATCTTTGTTTCAAATGTTTTTTCAATAAGTAATCTATTTCAAATTTATCAGGGTGGGATTCACATATCATTTGGGGATATCTTGTATGTGGCACTTGGTTCATTGATTAGGCATAATAAAGTTATATTGTTGAAAGCAATCTTGGTGTTGATGTTGTTTTATTTGAAATAATCATTACTTATAATATAAATATAATGAAAAAAAAAGAAAATTAATGCAATTAAAACTGTAGGCCTATGTTTGTTTCTTTTTTGACTTCCATCTCTTTTATTCACTTTATATTCTCTCATAAGTTGGTTTACATCAAATCTAAATAAATCAATCAATCAATTAATCATGTTACAGAATATACAATAGTGCAAAATACGTTATACAGTATATTTTGCTCTATGGCATTTGTTCATGAGAGTTTTCATTTTCTTTTGGTAAATATGAAAGTTAAACCCCTGAAAATATTAATCCTCTGGATGTTTCATGTTTTTATGAAAGCAAATCCAAAAATTTCATTGCACAAATTCAAAAAGCTCTGTCAGCGAAGGGGTTATGTTTTCTTGGAATGCTGGTGATTTACATTAATCCTTGTGCATTATGGGCAGCTGCAATTCTTCTTTATTTTGATTAGGTTTTCACAACGTGCAATTTTTGGCAGAACTGCTATATGGTGCGTGCTAAATAAATATCCAAGTCAGTTGAGTCTTCTTAATCTTAAGATTTTTGATAAAGCTAATAAATATATTATAGTTAAAATTTTTA